GACCTCAGGCGGTAAGAGTCTCTTCCTCCTGTTAGTCGATGAAAAAAGCCGCTTCATGTGGCTGACCCTGCTGCAAGCGAAAAGTGAGGCGGCAGAGGCGGTTAAGTGCATTAAAGTGCGAGCGGAGGCCGAATGTGAGAAGAAGATGCGAGTGCTGCGCACAGACCGAGGCGGAGAATTCACCTCGACAAGTTTCGGTAAGTACTGTGACGAAAACGGCATACAACGGCACCTAACGGCGCCCTACTCCCCCCAACAGAACGGAGTGGTGGAGCGCCGGAATCAGACCATCGTCGGGACAGCAAGGTCATTGTTAGTGACGGTCGGGATGCCTGGGAGATTCTGGGGAGAGGCAGTAATGACGGCCGTCTATCTCCTCAATCGGTCACCAACCCGAAGCCTTGACGGGAAGACACCATATGAGGTCTGGTACAACAAAAAACCAGCGGTACATCATTTTCGCGTGTTCGGCTGCGTCGCATACATGAAGGTAACACGTCCCCACCTCGCCAAGCTCGATCCTAGGGGGCTGAAGGTCGTTTTTATTGGCTATGAACCCGGGAGTAAGGCGTACAGACTATATGATCCTGTAGGGGGGCGAGCTCACGTGTCTCGCGACGTCGTCTTCGACGAAAGCACCTTCTGGCAGTGGAATGACGTGATCGAGGCAGACCATAATCCAAATCAATTTACGGTGAAGTATCTCGTCACCGAGCCGGAAGAAGGAGGAGCCCAGCATCAGCAGCCGTCACCACCGCCAGCAGGTGCAACCCCTGAACCAGTGGAATTCGCAACACCACGGACTGCGGATTCGACGCTGGATGCCGATCACGATACTGATCTGGAGGCCAGGTACCGGAGGATGGACGACCTAGTAGGAGGAGGTGAACCACCTGGACTGGCAGTGCGCGAGCTCGAAGAAGTGGCCGAACTACATGCCATCAGTGCAGATAAACCGAACACCTTCGCCGAAGCAGAAAAGAACCCGTGCTGGCTGAAGGCAATGCAGGAGGAGATGACATCCATCACCGAAAATCAGACGTGGAGTCTGGAGGATATGCCACCGGGACACCAAGCCATAGGGCTCAAATGGGTCTTCAAACTGAAGCGCAACGAAAAAGGAGAAGTTGTGAAACACAAGGCCCGTCTGGTGGCGAAGGGCTACGTCCAGAAGCAAGGAGTGGACTTCGAAGAGGTATTTGCGCCAGTGGCAAGGTTAGAATCCGTTCGTTTCTTACTTGCAATTGCAACACATTACTCTTGGGAGGTTCACCATATGGACGTAAAGTCTGCTTTCCTTAACGGAGAGCTGAAGAAGACTGTTTATGTCCGACAACCACTTGGCTTTCTGGATAACAACAACCCCAAGTATTACACCTGCACAAGGCACTCTACGGGCTTCGACAAGCTCCACGAGCCTGGAACGCGAAGCTCGACAGTACCTTACTGTCACTAAAGTTCAAACGTTGCGCCTCTGAGCATGGCATGTACACGCACGGCCATGACAAGAAGCGACTAATCGTGGGAGTGTACGTCGACGACCTCATAATCACTGGAGGTGACATGGAAGTCCTCGGAAGGTTCAAGAAGGAGATGTCGAAAAACTTCGAGATGAGCGATCTCGGCGTGCTCAGCTACTATCTCGACATCGAAGTGCAACAGAATTCTACCGGCATCTCCATCTGCCAAAGTGCATACGCAAAGAAGCTGCTGGACACAACTGAACTTGTGGACAGTAATCCTACAAGGACGCCAATGGAGGCCCGACTCCAACTAAGGAAGGCTGGCACTACGACGACAGTCGACTCCACCAATTACCGCAGCATTGTCGGGAGTCTGCGCTATCTGGTAAACTCTCGTCCTGATCTTGCTTATTCTGTTGGATATGTGAGTCGGTTTATGGAAGCACCTAGGGAGGATCATTTAGTGGCTGTCAAGCGCATCCTGCGCTATGTAGCCAGAACCAGAGGCTGAGGTGTAAGATACTGCGCAGGGAGCGGAAAGAAGAAACTCAAGCTAGTTGGCTACAGTGATAGTGACATGGCCGGTGACGTTGATGATCGTAAGAGCACTAGCGGAATGATCTACTTTCTCTCAGGCGGCGCAATCTGCTGGCAATCAACAAAACAAAAGGTAGTTGCTTTGTCTTCCTGTGAAGCAGAATACATCGCCGCTTCGATGGCAGCAACACAAGGGATCTGGCTTGCGCGACTAATGGAAGAACTCATCGGGAGAGAAAGTGATCCACCAATGCTATACGTAGACAACAAAGCTACGATCTCCCTGATTAAAAATTCAGTTTTGCATGAACGAAGCAAGCACATAGAAATCAGATTCCACTACATTCGAGAATGTGCAGATCGAGGGCTCATCAAAATTGATTACATCCGAACAGAGGAACAACTTGGAGGCATCTTCACCAAGTCCCTGGCGCGGGTGAAATTTGAAGAACTACGCTCAAAGATCGGAGTTCAAATAGTAAGGTAGATATACTACAGGTTTTAGGAGGAGATTGTTAGATAAAACCTGAGTTTTACCGTTTTTTCTTATTCACACAATTTCAGAAAATCGCTAGTTTGACCATTTTACAAAACACGTCGAATGGATCACCATAATTTTAGACTTAAATTTTGTAGGGAGTGGCACAGATTTAGTTGGCCACTCTCACCCATTTTTAGAATGACTTTTACTTTAAATACGAGATTTGTTCAGAAAATAAAACAATCCAAACGCAGTCAAAATTCAGTTAATTTTCTCTCTTCTTTATGTTACGCATTTTCTTCCAACACCCAATTTTCTCTCACCGAAATTTTGTGAAAAACAACATTGGTTGCTTCTCCTTCTTTCTACCATGAAGTTTCATGGTTGTTGGACGTCTATGGAGGTAGATCTCATTTTCTATAAATCTAATTTTTGAATTCCTTCCCTGATGGTAACGACGATGAAAACTGCGAGTAGATCTTCTTTGGATGGATGTACCAAGACCGGTGAGGGTTTTCCTGGTTGTTTTACTCGATATAGGGGTCGGAGCGGACGGTTTCGGGGTCGTGGATTTTGTTTTGGGTTCTCACCGGAAAACTCAGTATCTTCTCTCTCTCTTAGATTCCTTTCTGATTTGCTTCTTTGCAGGTGCTCTAAGGTCGAAGGCAGAAGGCTAGAGGAGGGAGGGAGCGTCTAGGGCATCACGCAAGGTTGTGGTCGTGTGTGATCCGAAAATTCCTGCAGTCGCTGGAATTTTCGTGTCTTCAGCAACCTCCGTTTTTTTTTTTTAATACTGGTTCATTACTTTTTCGCTCTATTAGAAAGAAGGTTGGTTTATTATGATCCGTGTTTCAGGCGATTGATTGATGTTATCTCTGTGTTTTAGCTTATTTGTCTATGTGAATGTTTTTAGCTCTTCAGGTGATTGATAGGATATCTTCGTAATAAGCTTGCATGAATGTTTAGATTATGTATATCATTCTCAAGGTGATTGATAGGATAATCTTCCAATCAAAGCAAGCACAACAGAACAAAATTAAGACTAGGGTGCTAGAGCTAGAGCGGTTGTGAGCTGACCTAAGTTAATATATTTCCAATATATCCTACATCTTAAGTTTGTGAGCATCGATCAGAGGTCTAGACTTGTGTGCACCTAGAGTATAGAATAACTCAATGAGTTAGTCCTAAACGTCCTAGAAATGAAAGATAAGGTTAAAACTGTCTAGACTCCCCTGAGAACCTGGTAGACCTCCATGTTACCCAAGAATCACAAAGGTAGCTCTCTAGAGCGTTAGCACTATGTATGGTGTCATAAGTTTAATGATGCCATCAGAGTCTCTACTAACCTTTCCACTTTGACACTTGTTCCGTCGAGTCACGCATAGGTCAATTGGGGTTGTTTGAATTGATATTTAGGTTGATTATCCTACACAGCAGATCCATACTGATAGAGGTCCAATCACACGGGTAGCCTTCGTAGCTTACAAGCATATGAGTCGCTCCCCCAACCTTGGGTGACTATATGGTCTTGCAAGAGGGTTTTCCAGCTAACCTCCCATGGATGACGAGCAAGCTAGCACACAACATACTGTCCTCACCAGAGATGGAGTTCCACGAGGTACCACCTTAACTCAAGACACTAGTTCTTCATTGCATAGGCAAAGCTACCATAAGTCAAAGAACAGAAGATTAGTTCACCCCAGCGATGGGGCATACCTCTCGTTAAATTTGAGATGTTAGAAAATGGTGAACCACCTTCTTCGAACCCAAAATGGGTATGTGAGTAGCTAAAATACTGCTTGAAACTTTGAGGCCCTCTAGATACTCATATAGCAATAGAAACTAATCTCGAACTTCCTAAAACTAAGAGTAAATCCTGTAGATACCTACTGGGTTAAGAATGCGATGAGAGGTTACAAATAGGTTGCTTCCTAAGTCTTTTTATACTCACCCTTTTTTTTTTCAAGTGTTCGAAGGAAGCAGGTCAAGGTAGGGAGCGCTTGAGAGCAGTACAGTCATAGAGGGGTCGTTCCAGAGCATCAGTCCATTTTTATATTGTAAGTCATTTGTATTTTGTTTTATAATTATATCTGTGACCTCTCTCCTAATTTGTAATAAGTTTGAGTAGCATTGTTTTGTAATTGAATTTCCTTTATATTTAATTGTAATGTTGTTTATCTTTATTTGATTTAAAATTTATCTGATTTTTATATTTATTCTATTATCTCGGTTTTTATAGTCATGGTTCGAGATTCAAAATCTTGAAAGTTGTATCGTGACAAAGCAGATTAGATTTTTTTTTTTTTTTGTAATCTAATTCTACATGTATAAGATTTGTTGTCATCCAATGGAATGAATTTCAAAGGATATATATCTTAATGCTTTGGTAACGAGAAAACTTACACAAATTTTTAAAATTAAGTTAATATTCCTATTTTAATAGAGATGACAAAGAAAAGGTTTTTCTTGCATTTTCCTTAATTTTGATCTTAGTAAGGTCATTAAAATAATGCTAACAATTACCATAATGTTTATTATTAATATATAACTTAAAGAAGTTACATTGATGTTGTAGTAGTTCACCTTATCTAGTAGTAGTTCATATGATAAGGTTTGAAAACATAAGTGCAAACAATTAAAATTTCAATGTGGAGATAAAGATGGTGGTTTTTCAGTGCGAACTCGACAAACGCTAGTACTTTGATGGTAGAGGAGGTGAACCAACAAGTGGAACTTTGAGAGGAGCAGCCCTGAAATACAAGGATGACAATGGTGAAGCAATGGGTAGATTGTTGGGGGCGAGGTGGCAAAACTATTGATGGAATGGTTGGACGAGGGGGCTAAGCAGTCGATAGAATAAATTGATAAGGGTGTGAAGTCATTGGTGGAATGCTAGGGCGAGGTGGTGAAGCTATTGGTGGAATGATTGGACGAGGTGGCGATGCTATCGGTGGAATGATTGGATGAGGTGGTGAAGCCATAGGTGGAATGTTAGGGCGAGGTGGCAAAGTTGGTGAAATGATGGGACGAGGGGGCGAAGCCATTGGTGGAATGCTTGGACGAGGAGGTGATGCTATCGGTGGAACGATTAGACGAGGTGGTGAGGCCATGGGTGGAATGTTAGGGCGAGGTGGCAAAGTTGGCGAAATGATGGGACGAGGGGGGGAAGCCATTGGTGGAATGCTTGGACGAGGAGGTGATGCTATCGGTGGAACAATTGGACGAGGTGGTGAGGCCATTGGTGGAATGTTAGGGCGAGGTGGCAAAGTTGGCGAAATGATGGGACGAGGGGGCGAAGCAATAGGTGGAGTGCTTGGACGAGGGGGTGATACTGCGGGTGGATTGATTGGACGAGGGGGTGAAGCCATTGGTGGAATCATGGGGCGTGGGGGCAAAGCAATTGGTGGAATGGTTGGTTGGGGAGGTGAAGCAATTGGTGGAATGTTGGGACGAGGTGGTGAAGCCATAGGTGGAATACTCGGACGAGGCGGTGAAGCCATAGGTGGAATACTCGGACGAGGCGGTGAAGTTGGTGGAATGTTGGGACGAGGTGGAGGAGGTGGTGGGGGTGGAATTGTAGTTGGAGGAGGAGGAGGAGGAGGAGGAGGTGGTCTTAGAGGAAATATTGGTGGTAGTATTAAAGGTGGAAGAATAGGTAGAGGAGGGAGCCGGATAGGTGGTATTGGTACAAGAGGAGGGAGACGGATAGGTGGTATTGGAGGGAGCCGGATAGGTGGTATTGGAGGGAGCCGGATAGGTGGTATTGGAGGGAGACGGATAGGTGGTATTGGTAACGGGAGAGTAAGCAATTGTGAATTGACATGTTGGTCGGATGAGTAAGGTGTTTGTTGGAGACGGCGGGCTGCTTCATTCGCCTCAATATTCAAACAACATAAACTCACAAAAACACCAAACAACACAACTAAGGTCTTGTAGGAAGCCATCACATAATCAAGCTTCCTTCACTCACATTTCAAACTACATGCATGTGTTCTCCTATTTATATGCATCTCCCTCGACTTCCCTATCCTACTTTAAACCCTATTGGTATACATTAACTCGGGTCATTAATCATTTCAAACTTCAAGATATAATTCAAACTTCGGTAGAAGTTTACGACTCTCGTCTTAGTCATTTTTTACTGCCTTCACTCCTTCTCTTTTAGAGTCCTTTTTTCGATATTGAGAATTTACGACTAAGTTTAGAGCATGACTTTGATACCATATTAGACGAACACGACTCTCCACAGTGGTATGATATTGTCCACTTTGAGCATAAGTGTTCATGAATTTGCTTGGACTTCCCCAAAAGATCTCATACCAATCATATCAATGGAGAGAGTATTCCTTGATCATTTTTTGAATTAGCAGATATGCACTTTCATCATCAAACATACACTACAAATATTAAACTTTAAGCTTAATAGGATTTAAATAAAATAATAAATAAAACCTCATAATTTTTAGTTTTCTTAATTCTAATAACCCAATATTATTTTTTTATTATTGTTTTTAAAAAGCAACTAATTTATATACTTTTAACAAAATGAAATATAGTTTTATAATCGTGAGTTTTCCTTTTTAACTTTTTAATAATTTATTTAATAGGATTTAATAATTATGAAAATAATATTCAATAGTTTAATAAAAATGATTTTAGAGTGAGTCCAAATTTAGAATAAATTCAATAGCTCGCAAAAAGTTATCATAAATTGCATTAATAGGTCTATACTTCTAAAAAATTAATAAGTTGACTTTTGGAATAATAAAATTCATTCATTTTAATTTTAAATTTTAATTAATTCATTCATTGCTATTTTGGCTAAACATTTAAAATATCAACTCAACTTCTTAATTTTTTTTAAATATCTTACTTTTTTTTTAAGTAACTAATTTAATTTTTGCTACTTTTTTAATATTAGTTAGTTATTTGATAAATTGATGTGAATATCAATGTATTAAGGTAGATATTCGAGAGGAATGTTAGATGTCGTAATAAATAATATTGAACATGTGACATCCAAGTAAAGGAGGAGTACATGAATGGACTAAGACCACATCTGAATGAAAGAGATCACGAGGGTAGAATGACTAAGAAATACTTAAAAGAAGTGAAAATTACTACTTATACCATCATAGTACACCTTCATTTTCGATAACTAAATTATTGAAACTTCATAGTTCATAGTGCTTTGCTTGGAACAATTCTATTTTGGATGACCAGTTGTAATGTTTCGCTAATATATATAAAAAAAATCTAAAAATTCAGTGAAGACAAGCGCCAAAGTTCTCGTTCCAACACCCCAACTCGCCCTCCCGCTGCCCACAGATCGCCACGCTCCCACCCATCTTCAACCACACCACTGAAGTCCGACAAGAGGAAGAATTCAAAGAAAAATTGAGAGAAGAAAAAATTGAAGTGGTCTTACTATAGGATAGACTAGATACTTGTTTGTTGTATGACGACATATGCCTAGTGGCACTAGCTAGGCACTGACTTGGTTATTTATTCTTTATAACTAGGAACTATGATGTATGATGATGTGTATGAGTTATATGATGATGTATGATGATGCTCGATAACATGTTAGGATAATTATGATGTATTTGATGGCGTTATGATGAAGATGTATGATGATGATGATGTATGATTTTGTTACTTTAATATGACGATGTTTTCCATATTAAGTTAAGATGTATGTTATGAATTCCCTATTGCATCATGTTGAGAAATCGGCCTAGGACACAACCATACAAAATATTAATAACAATGTTAAGATGAATAGTTAACGCTCATGTATTACTAATAGTAATATAAAGATTTAAACTAGGGTTGTGTCATGAAGACGTTTTAAAGATGAGAAGTTAGAGGGACCTCATGCATTTCTATATGTACATAAGCATCGGGATACTTTTCCTTTTATGATGATGTGTGGACGCGCACGTTATGATGATGACGGTGATCATGTTGATCATGACACTCAAGGGTTCACTAACCTCTAGATATTGTTATGGACAGCTAGCTTGACAATGATGGGTCCAGGGGGGATGCGAACAGCCTGGAGATTCACACTCGCACGTGTGGTCGTGTGTAGGAAAGTACTACACATCCAAGTTAGTTCGAAATGGAGGCCACCCCTAGTTTGCATCTTTGCATAACCCCTACAGTGGGTCACTTACTAAGTATTCTTTGAAATACTCAGCCCGTGTGCTACATCATTTTTCAGGTAAAGGTAAGGTGCCTCTGTACGATTGACGGTGACATCGCATGTAACGACCCTAAATTTCTACTTACTCAGAGTCACTACTGTCTCATACTCTACTAAAATGGGGAATCTAACTCTTAAAAGGGAACATCATCTTTACTATAAATGTTGAAAACATTTAAAACATCTTTAACTCTAAAAAATACCGACGATCTTACGTCCTTCAAACGAAATAATGAAATTAAAAATAAAACAAATACAAAATAAAATAATTTAAAATGATGAAGTGCAAGACAACCTATTCTAACCTAAGACTAAGAATCTAAATAAGCATTTATCCTGTGCACGTGCCACAACCCCTTGGTTTTTGTAGGTTGGATCAGCGATGGGTCACGGGTTTGCAGGCGGGCTAGACCGACGATGGGTCACAGGTTTGCAAGCAGTTGGGTTGGGTCGGGTCGTTGGACTTGGGTCGCGCTTTATGGATCAAGTCTGACCTAGTTCCAAAGGATCCTTCTTCCTTACCCGACTCTCTGCGATTCTTCGATGTTGTTTTCTCTCTCCTCTGTTCGATGGTTTCTGACGTCGCTTTTGTCTTTTTCTTCCTTTTTCTCTCTATTTGCTTATCCTCCTCTCTCGCACGAAGTTTCGTGGTTGTTGGACATCGTGGGAGACGACGGCTACGTGGTGACAACAGTGGCGACGACGCCTATGTGGCGTCAATTTACTTTAGGGTGGGCATACTAAGGTTGGTGAGGACTTCTTCGGTGTGATTTGCTCAGTTAAGGGTCGGGGCTCGCGTTTTCGAGTTGTTTTGCACGCCAGAAAAACTATGATCTCTCTCTCTCTCAATTTTTCTACTATTTTCTTCCTCTATGCAGGTGTTCGAGGCGTTGGCTGAAGGCTAGAGGAGGGAGGGACACGTCTGGGGACGATCCACGAGGTCGTGGTCGTGTAAGATCTGAAAATTTCGGCGGTCGCAAATCAGAGACCACGGAACGTGCATAGGATAGAACATAATTAAATTTCTAGACCTAAGTTAAAATAGGTTGTTTCGCATTTCATCTTTTTAAATTATTTCATATTCGTTTTTAATTGCATTTCAACATTATAGGTTAAACATGTAAAACCATGAGGTGTTTTCAATGATGAAGTATCTTTTAATCTTTTGAAATTATTACACAAATGATAATGTTTTAAGAGTTACATTCTACATATGAGCTTAAAATAAGATAATAGTAGCGACTTTAGGTATTTGAAATCTAGAGTCATTACACTAATAACGTAACTATGTCGCAAGGAAATGTGTGGGCCATCAAGTGCAGAATTCAGATTCTGAATCTTAATATGAATCGTGGGCATGAGTTGTTATAATTGGTATCAGAACACTATAGGTATGTCTTCCTTTTCCGTGACTCAATTATAAAAACTTCATAATTAAGCATGTTTTGCTGAGAGCAATTTTATATTGGGTGACATCTTAAAAAAATTTCTAGGACATACATGTGAGTGATAGCAAAGCATGCTAAAAAAATTCGTATACCATGTTGCAAGGGATGCATAGCCATCTGATACCGAATTCGAGTTCAGAGAATACATTTATCATTAAACTAAATTCAAATTCGCATTTTATTATATTAGTTTACAAGCATAAATTAATATATTTATTTACTAAATTCAAGGCTTGCCCAAAGTTCATAATTAATAACATTATTACTTATTTAGAATTTCGAGAATTTACTTCAAAATTTATGGACATAAGTCGGAGAGACCGAGAACGTGCCTAATTTTGTTTGTTTGTTAGAATCAAAATGAGTAATTAAAACTTTTTAAATGTATGAATTAAATAGATGCCTACTAAGTGTAACGATTTAAATTTCTACTGACCTAAAGTCACTATCGTATACATAAAACTGTCATAAAACAATGCAACCGTGCAAGGATGTATTACTTTTACCCAAAATATAGAAGTAGAACATGGTCGGAGTATTTTAAGAAATGCTTTGCAAGTGAATCCACTTTTAGGGTTAAGAAATGCAAAGAGATGCAACATGAATGTGACCTATCATTTTAAAATCGTATTCCCTTAGGTGACTATCCTAAACGGGCATTGAATGTGTATTTACTATTCTTCACACGACCCATAAGTGCGAATATCGCACACCTACTAGACCCATTTTTTGTGGGCTAGAATTCTCTGGTGCTATTGTTGGACGCCCGTAAGGAGTAGCAACTGTCGTAGCATCATGTTAAACATAATAATTATTTTTCTTTTCATAATGTACGCGTTCGTACTCATCATAGAAGGGGTAATACCCCGATGCATGTAACATAAAATAATGTATGAAGTAAATATTTTTAAACAACTTCTTCCTATTTTCCTTCATATCATATCATATATATCATAGCTTTCAAAACATGTCTTTGAGTTGTGCACTATGTCAAAACATTTTATCGCATATCATTTATGTCATACATCGTATCACATCGTGTCATATCATACATGAATTATGCCATAAAATATATCATGTCACAACATTTATCATATCCTAAAACATATCATATCATATCATAAACCTGTCGTTTCATAGGCATAGCATATTATAAATGCATCATACATAACAGACATATGACACATGCAAAGTCACTGGGCACGTGTCATCGTATAGAACACAGTAATTTTATATTTTATTTACTATTGTAGATGAAATGACTTTATAAACAAATAGTAATTTATAACGAGGTGGTTG